AGTACAAGCTTTGCTTAGTTTGGGACTAGAGGCGCAGTGTAAAATGTCCAAGGATATTTCTTTATTATTTACTAGCTGACCCGGCGAACTTTGTTCCGCCTTAATGGCAATAAATAACGGGATAAAAAGTATCCTATGTCCTTCTCCTGGCTCTAAACTACCTCCCTGACAATTTTCAGCTAAATCGGTTCAGCCGATCTTGAGTTATAAGTGGAGTAACTAACACGACTTTCTTTTATAATATAGATATAGATTTAATTTAATTAATAACGGTAGGTATTAACCCTTAAGTAACACCGTGGGGTAATTTTTTACCCCAGGCGCATAAAAATTGACATATCTTTTTTTCTACCTAAGCTAGTGCAATGTCGTTTTGTGTATTCTCAATGCAGAGTGTGCGCTTTAAGCTCGTAGACGCGGGATGTGAAAAAAATCATCTGTTTGGCTTGTACAGGTAGGTGGGGTGGAAAATTACCCCAGGGTGTTAGTTACGCATGCTTTAATTTTTTTTCACCTAACATCTTATTAATAGGTTTTTACAATATTTAAACAAAATGAGTAAAAATTTATATGAGGATTAGGTAGCACGTTGTCTCGAGAATGCAGAAAAATAAATAGAGCTTGATTTACATAATACTTTTCGAACTTTGAAGACATCCCCTCAGAACACAGCGTTCATAAATTCGACACAAATAGAGCCCAAAAGTGATATTTATGTAATAATTCAGCGTGTCTGATGTGTTTTGAAAAAAATAATTAGGAATAAAATAAATAAAAAAATATATTTTCATAATTTTATAAAAAAAAAATTTTTTTATTTTGCTTTATTATAAAGCCACAATTTTCGTTTTATTTCATTTTGTGTTTAAAATATGTATAAAACATATATTCAATGTCCGATTAGTGTAAGTTTTTGGTTCCCACAATAACTTTCCAAGATTTTCTTTTTGTTATGATTGATTTAAGATGTTTCTTTACGCTAGATAGACGTTTGTTTAAACAATAGTATAATTTAGTGAGTCCATTAATACACTGTAAATCACAAATTAAATTGATTTTAAATATTTACTTAAAATTTTTCAATTTCCCTTTGGGGTATTTTTTTTACCCCAGGGTGTTCTAAGTGTAACCAAAAATAAGGATGTTACTTAAGGGTTAAGTTAATTAGCCAAATTACGATAAGTTAATCTTACTTCTTTCTTTGATAAACTAATTTTAAGGCAAAGCCGCGGGCATAACTAATTTAATAAGAGCATTCTAATTACGGCACTCAATTAATTAGTGCCTAATAGGTTCCTTTTAAAAGTTCCGCCATGATAGAGGTTGTTACTTATTCAATAGAGCCAAAGTTGGCGAAGCCTTAGGGAACAAGGATTAGCGCCGATAGTTGGGAGTTTTCGAATTGTTTCGCGTTTGATATCTTGGGAGAGCAGCTTTCAGTTTGGTTTTACTTGGCTACACAGACATATCATAAGTCATTAATTGTCTGAGAGTCCTCCACCTGGACATGAGCTCTCCTGGCTTACCTGGAAGTCATTAAATAGACTTCGGACGCAGGTTGGTCGTAGTAAGGACAGTCTGATCAGGTGGGGATTCTTAGATGGCTCACAAACATGGAGTGCAGGTGCGGTTTTGTTCTCCAGTCGATGAAGCACATGATGTCGTGCCCTGAGTGCCCGTGCAACTGCACGCAGGAGGATTGAATGAATACACTGTGTAGGTTTGTTGTCGACACGATAAGAAGAAAAGTCATTAATTAATAAATTCAAAGAACTGCGAGCATTATGATCTAGGCTTTTTTAAGGCGAGAGTGAATGGGCACTTACAGGGCATATACTCGTATGTACCATCCTAGACTGCATCTCACATAACATCAGGTGTGATTGTAATCAAATACTTACCTGCTTTTTGCTGCATAAAACTGCTTCTGAATAAAAAATTACCTGTCTAAGTAGGTACTACCGTTTCATTGTCTTTTTTTTTTAAGTTTGTTGCAGCACTTCTCAGCTCTTTAATGTTTGTCTCAAAAGGTAGAGGAAAATAAGAATTTTTAACCTTTTAACAATAATGTTTTGTTTGACCATTTGATACTAAAATCACAGATCACAGAAACTAAAGGGAGATGTGACAAGGGGGCGTGGCCAGTGTCGCAGCAATATGCCCAAAAACAGAACACATTGCTGCCGACGTCATAATGTAAACAGTTTACATTGCTTGCGTAGTACTGTGGTAGTACTAAAGATTATTCGAACATTGAGTACTGATACCGCAGTGGATAATGAGCACATATTTTGATTACTTTGTTTGTGTCAATTTCTAATGCGACACTAAAGTTTCGAACTCAGCGCATTAGTTGGCATCTCTCTATATCTCTATGACTAAAATGAATTAGCAAATTAATGTAGGTAGTATGTCTTGCCACTTTCCTCTTGACAAAAAAGACTTTTCCATGGCTAGTTCCCAAATCCTTAAAAATTTAAGAAAAAATGCCATACTTATAAGTACTTATAGGGAAGAAAAATAACTCAAATAATTTCAAAATCTTAAAGCATTTGTCTTTCTACTAACAGCGTGGGACAATGGACGCAATTATCTCCAACTCCTGCTAATCCTCTTTGTTAATTAGTCTTCTATAATTAGGGCACTAGACCTTTAGGATTGGGAATAATCGCTTTAGTTCCAGAACTAATGCTAGTCTGTTCCTAGATTTAGATAGATAACGAGAGATTTAATGACTAAAATTTAGGACATTTATGCCCGTATTCACAAAAATTACTATGAGGACTCACAGTGCGCGTGGACGCACAGGGTGACACACGAACCAACCACAGACTCAATGAGCTCTATTCAACGCTGTGCGTTCGATTTGTTGCTTTATTTACGCAAGCATCGTTTATGAATACGAGCGTTATAGTCATTAAAACAATCTTATTGTAAACAAAACGCTTTCTATAAAATAATGGATTCTACTAGTGATGGGAATATGGGATATCTATTAATGGTTGTATTTTATCTGACAGATAATAAAAATATCTACCTACTAGATTGTCAGGAACTTCTTTAGTAAGTGGTTAAAGTAATAAATTAAAAGATTGGAAGTTTAAACAGTATTTGGCTTAAAGCTTGATGCCTTTACAAGCTCTACATAAGGGCTAGCCTTTCTAGATGACTGAATCTAAAAATATTATCCTAAAATTCACCTTTTCTCCGTCACATGACGTATTTTCTCACAATGAAAAACGAAGTTAATCACACCTATCCATCTACATTGTGCCTGTATCATGTGTTCCCCGCAACAATATTTTATGAGGACGAAAAAACACCCTTTTTATCGCAGAAACAAGAAAAGTTGGAGGTAGGGATGACTAATGCGTATCGATATTGGGGCGACGGGTATCGATGCTTCTCCTGACTTAATACAATCAATCCGTAAAAGGTTATGGAAATTGGAAATTGTCTTGGCAATTTTTTATGGGGGGAAAACTCCACGGTGTAAGAGTCGTATCTGCATTTTTAAACGACTTCAACAAAAGGAAAAGGTGCTCAATTCTGTTGGTATTTTTAATCGGATAGTTTTAAGATAGGTACTTATTTTAATTTTTAACATTTTAATTCCCTATCTCAATTATTATGTTATAACAGTGATGAATAGTCTTGAATAGTAGTAGTTTTTTGTAATAGAACAAATTACTAATTAGTTACTGTAGTAATAGTTTTTGTCGAACTAAGTAGTGACTTTATTCCGTGATCTATGCAATAAAAAAAAATTGAAGCAGCGAAATAAGGAATCATTTGACACTTGCTATCGCATATTGTCATTAACGAAATGACACAAATTGATTCACTTTTTCTTTATTTATTTCATGGATTAGAATAAACCATAAAATGTAGCATTATGTACACCACTAATTTTAGGGTCTATCATAGTAGTTACGATATGGAAACACCGCAATGTTTTTTCCAGCAGTCGATAATAACGATGTTTTAAATCTATCACATCACTATTCCTCCTGGAACGCAACCCGGTGTTTGATTGAAGCTAACATAACAATACAACTGAGCTATACATAGTACGGGCTTGGTAGCATGGCAAAATATTAGGTAACTTACCTACGAAATTGCCAAATGTTTTTACCTTTTTTTACCTACTTATTTTAGAGTTACTCTATGGACTGACGATCTAATGAAGGTCGCGGGAAGCTCTGCAAGACCGGTCAGTGTGTAAATTCTTGGGAAAGACCTTTATCCAGCTGTAGACGTCTTTTGGTATAAAACAAACCTCATTTTCACATTTTTCAGTACCTTACAAGTCTTAACATAAAGGGCCTTATAACATAGAAGTTAAACAAGCGTTGAACACTTGTTTAAAATGACTAAATGTAGTAAGTATGGACTAAATATCAGTTTAAACTAAAACTTAACATGCGTTTAACTGTAGTAAAGTAGGTACACTGAAAATGTCTACGATATTAATGTAAGTAGCTAAGTATTGTGAAGTGAGCAACTCTACTTATCCATTACCTTTAGAACAAAAAGGTAAACGAAACGGACAAGAAACAAATCCTATCAAAGCCCGTATTTATCATATCCCCAATTTGAAGAAAAACGGCCGAATTTTCCAAATAAATCCCATATTTTTCTTTACGAGACCAAATAAGTAATTTTATTTGGATATTAGATTAGATTCGATATTTTGATATTAAGTCGAGATCAAAGCAATGTATTCTGTTTTGAACATGATATTTAATTAACTGAAATGATTCTGATACAAGATTTACTTACTTTTTGATATTGTTTTTAGTAGATAACTAGCGGTCGCCCGCGACTTCGTACGCGTGGATCTCGTTTTACCCCCATAGGGGTTGAATTTTGCAAAATCCCGTCTTAGTGAGCACCTACGTTCTAAAAGGAACCCCCATGCAAAATTTGAGACTTCTAGCATTTGTCACAAAATAAACTTAAAACTTCATATCATTAAGTCTCATTTTCGTTTGTTCCAGTATCAGCCCTGCCGAACCCGACGGCCAGCGACGACGACGACGATGAAGACGACACAACGCCGCAGAGTCGCGCCGACGCCGACGATGACGGCCGAGTGTACAAAAACCCGCGGAATTCGCCGTCGGCGCAGTGTCCGAGGGACGAAGAGCAGGCTACTATGCTGGCAAGTATCCCCCTTATGACCTCATAATAATAAGTACTAAAATGGCTTGGACGGTTGCGTAACAGACTATAGACAAAGTGACGAGAAAGAGAAAAACAGAGAGGGATAGTTTGAGCAACTCACCGTCGAGGAGCACATCTCTATGACGTTGGTCTGTCATTTTTTTCACAACGGGGAGGCTCTTGGCCTGCATCTCACCTAATGGAAAGTGATGATCAGGCCGAAGGTGGAAACGAGCTTCACCCAGAATCCTCACAGAGTAACTGGCTATCGTACCTCCAACTGCTGGAACATACAATCATCTTGGGTTTATTAACCCATGTTACATAGTATTATCAGTGTATGTGTAAATGATGATAATGGTCTTTACCTATCATTATTATCACACAGTAATTAAGTAAATACTTATAGGTATTATAGGCAACAGTATTAACTACCCATTGCCAGTCATGTCGTCTCGTTCTATCGCAAATAATCACCTTTGATAAGAGCGAGAGCAAAATTGAAAATGGATAGTTAACACTGTGGCCGATAGTACTACCTCTACCTCTATGGTGAATAGAAAGGAATTTAAATTACTTAAACACAATACTGGCCTGACTATGATATACGTATCATGGCAGGTGTTTTAAACTGTCCTAAGGCAACACATTAGTCAAACATTGTCCTAGGTAAACTGAACTTTAGATACTACTCAACTTCAATGTAGGTACAGATGGTAGCAGGCACATCAAGTTATGATAACTTATACAGTAGTAATACGGACGAATTTTCAATAGAGTGTATGGTCTTCTGTGCTGTGGACTGTACTTCGCACACCTTCAAAGCTACCCTCAAACCACCTACATATTATTTCAAAGTCCAGTAAAAGTACAGGGTGCAAAGGAATGAAATGTAAATTATTCCATTTTGACACCTATAATGGAAAGTGATAATCAGGACGAAGGTGATAGGGAGCTTTATCAGGAGTCCTCAACCACACAGGAACAGCTTCTTACCGCCAACTACTGACGCACCATCACACTCGAAATACAACTTTATTATGGCGCTAGACACAACTAAGCAGAAAATTTTCCCCATCTGGAAATCAAGTCTGAGACCTCTGGAAAAAGGTGGTCCACCACTAGACCACAGAGGTGGTTAGGCAGATTTCAGTATCATTGGGCTATTGTCGCCTCTTTTATTGACATTTAAATTGTCTTCCAGGGCCAGAAGTGTCTCCGCAAGTGCTCGTCAGACGAAGACTGCAAGAGCAAGAAGAAGAAGTGCCTCTGCGACGGAGCCTGCGGAATGTCCTGCATCAAACCAGGTCAGTGCGTTAAGATGATTACTTTATATCGGTCGTGCAGCAAGAGTGCGTTAAGACAATTACTTTAGTGATATATGACGTGCAGCGAGAGTTGAGTTGAGGTCATCAACACGAAATGTCTGTATACGCTTGTCGCGCAGATGTCTTGCGTATTCTGACTGATTTGTGTATTCTGAATTCGAACATTACACCAGTGTAAGTAAGTATACATTTGCTTCAACTTTCGTTGCGCGACCTATGTTCTTCGGAATACCTCCGCGGATACGGATAGTACGAAACATTTGAGTGAATTTGTAGTCCGTGCTTATAGAAAATATTTCAATTAAGTCTAATATAATAACAATGGAACGGCGGACTTGTTTGTATGAAAATATGAACACGTTTCCATTTTGGTCCCACGGACCAATATTAATTGATCACGGGTTACTTTATTTGTCATGTTAAGAAATACAAAAGGGATAAATACCTTTTTTCGTAGCAAAATATTGTGTTGCAAGAATAAAAGAAAAGGAAAATCTCTCGAAAACCCAGTATTGGAATTTGGAACAAACAGTGAAATAAAGATTTAATCAGTAAGCTCTCTAATGCAATTAGGTATATCTACGTTCATCAAAAATTCATTGATATTATTTATCCTTGAAACTCAATTTCTTTTTAACTTAAAGTCGTTCTTTAACTTGCTTGAGATCAGTGGCTATAAATATCACGTACGTCCTACATACAAAAAATAAAAACATTATTTTAAAAACCTAAGTCGCTAGTTGGACGCGTAACATTAATATGCATGCGATAATAACGCCCGTATTCACAAACATTACTATGAGCTCTCACAGTGCGCATGGACGCAAAGGGTGACACACGAACCAATCACAGAGCTCTATCCAACGCTGTGCGTTCGATTTGCTGCTTCACTTAAGCAAGCATCGTTTGTAAATAAGGGCGTTAATCCCCTCTATAAAAATCTACGTCTTTAACATAACAATCCCAACAACTGTCTATGTAGGTATTCGAAGTCTATAAACGAAACAATGCCCGAAAATTGCATTTCGTCGTTTTCCTTGTCAGCAAAAATTACGTATTTCATTGGTGTTTTAACAAGAAAGTCCCTTGGAAATACTCTGGTCTCGAAACAATACCCTCTCATACTCCGGAGGCAATTCGATACACAAATGGACTTATTTTCATAATGGCTTCTCAGAGTGAATTCGCTGGCGAGATGCGATTGTGAGTAATAAAGAGCTTAGGGAAACAATACGTGAAGAAAACGAAATAAGAAAATACTGAAAAAAAAATAGACTTCTTGGCGGGATAAAAAAACGAAAAACAATCGGTTCGGAAAAGAAGAAAAAAATTGAAAAGAGTAGGCGCACACCGTTGATTTTTCGTCTTTCAATAGTTTAGTCGGGCAGTTGATCAGCATGGGCATGTATGGGAGTGCGCACTCTACGCCGATTCGATTTGGCCGATGCTTCATACGATTCAAAATCGGGCACAACTATCGGCCAAGTGTGCGCCTACTCTTAGTGTTAATCTCCATCTAAAACCACTAAATGGATAACTCAATTTCTTCGAAGAATTAAATTAATACTTCTTAGTTCCCGAAATTAGATCGCTCAAATTTTTTTTGTAATTGGCTAGGGAAAAGCTAATAAGGAAAAAGGTGGAATAATTCGTTTGTGAAAAATGTTAGTTTCATTAAGAGTTTATTTCCGAAAGTTCGTATTTGTACGAAGAATTAAGGCTGAGTTGCACCACTTAAATTTGATCGTAACTATAACGATAACCGGTGTTTTTTGTATGGAGTTTGACAGATTTTTGACGTTTGTCAAAGTTAAAGTAAGATGGTGCAACCCAGCCTAAGAGTATTGTTAAAAATCTTAAGAGATTACCGAAAAAAGTTTTATTGTAAACGCTAATTTGTCGATATTTTTTCGTGAAAAACTGGCCAAAACACTTTTTCACGATGTTATTTTTACCTCACTACTTTTTTACCGTACTTCCTTATATTTTTACCTCTTTTATTTCAACCAAATGAATAAACTTATGTTATTGAAGCCACGCGTGTAACACGCTCGAATGCAAGTCTTTTTTTTTATAATAAGCTGAGATTTACTGAAAGAAACATAGTGTTATCACTTTTGATTGAAAAATCTCGCTGCAGTCTATCTAAATTTTTTAGACTTTTTGATTGTTAGCTTATGTTTATGTGATGTTTCTCATATAGGTAGGTAAAGTGAGTAAATATTGCATAATAACAAATACTACTAGTTACATATTACTGGTCGAAAAAGTTTGAAAGATGGATATTTATTACTTACTTCCTCAAACAAAACCACTGAACGGTTTTTGATAAAACTCTGCAATGCTTTTCTGGTGTATAATAAATACATCAGAAAAGCTTTGGTTGCTTTTCACAATTCTCGTGTCTCTTGTTTGTAACAAAATTTCCCCGAAACGGCTGAATCGATTCTTATAACATTTTGTGTGTTTAGTCAGTAGGTCTGACAGTACGTAAACTTTTTTTCATGCCCCTAGGTTCAAACCACGTTTGCTGGGTCGGCTAGTCTAGTATAGTTCTAGCAACTCACGAAGCTTTACTTGTGTGTGTACGTGTACATGCACATAACGATAGTGTCAAAAAAAAGACTATCAAAACTTTTGAAAAACGAACAGTAGCGAGCCACCACACATGTAAAGCTCACTCGCCTTCGTGAATTACAACAACTTGACTTATGGTCCTATGTCCCCTAGATGGGGCAGAGGGCGTCCACAACAGTCCTTCATCTCGTTCGGTCTTGAGCTTCTCGCTTGATCTCGCTCCAGGTCTTGCCGATCTTCTTCGCCTCGTCCGCTACAGTGCGCCGCCAAGTTTGCCTGGGTCGACCACGTTTGCGTTTTCCTTGGGGATTCCAATCCAGAGCCTGCTTAGGGATGTGATCGGGGTCCCTTCGGAGAGTGTGGCCAATCCAGTTCCACTTGCGGCGCTTGATCTGCTGCTGAATTACAACAACCATAATATAAAATGATTTTTACATCGCAGTGGCAGCCCTAGGAATGCCTCCATTCAGCCTGTCTTTTGAAGCTTCTGAAAGCGTAGGTGCATGACCTCGTCAAACATTCAAAGGGATCCACTTTGCACTCGCTACATTGCAGGGTTCCGTACCTAGAGGGTGCTAAGGGACCTTTTACTTATAAGCCCCTGTCTGTCTATTAGTATCGTTCTGCCTTTCCGTACTATCGACTGTACTTAACAATGAACGAGGAAAAATAACAAACCTGGGGAATGTAATCCTCATTTGCCTAACTTTAATTAGAAGAAGAAAGAAAGAAAAATATTTGGTTCAAACATAATACGTTTTACACAATTTAAATAATATACATAATTTATTGAACCAAAATGGCTCCTACTCAGCTTGTATCATGTCCCATTCAGAACATGAATGCTGGTATTCTGTAGGAAACATCTTGAAAGAGCGTCAACCAGGGACGCAATAAACATTGGCATTTCACATAAACATTAATTATTATTAGTGACGTGATAATGCATGATGATGACGAATTTCTTAAAAAAAAAACGGTTCTACAAAAAACATGTAGGTATATTGCGTATTTATTTCTTCATGATTTAAGAAGGTATTGCAAGGTAGTAATAGTATTCAATCTTGTGAGATGGTAATGGAACCATACCTGTGCTTGTGAACTCGCTCTGGCCTCAATTTTATTAATAGAAAATTAACAAACGGATTCCAAAAAAGAGCTGCAAAAAGTAGAAAATTAATTGCGTATTTAAAATCATGGCTGTCACTTTAGGCTACACAATATCTGCTCCCGCGGCTGGTAGGTATGCAATTTTATTCATCTTCCTGATGATAAAAAGGGCTACATAATGGTTTTATCTAATGCCTTTCCAAGCCTCAGCTGGCCTTGGCGACCATGTTGAAAGGAGGCAAGAGGTGCTCGACCTCCGGCCTTTTTGCATATTTTACCAGCGCCCTCTTTAACAATCTAGGTCTTCAGGTAGGCCTGAAAGAATGTGGGGCGGTGTTTGATGGACACTGAAAACGACTAAGATGTCGATTATAAAAAAATCAGAGGGTGGAGATGGTATAATAATAGATCGTTGCTCTTTTAATCTTGTTGCTCGTTTTTCGAGTGAGCAATAATTATTAGTACACGCTACTAAATTAATCAAAAGATTCGTGCACTTTTCCGAAATTGTAAAAATTATGGATTGGATTCCTAAACTTCATGTTATTTTAGATACTTATATCTCATACTTAACATTCTTAGCGTTTGGCTTTTGACAGAGGCTAGTAAAAAGCCTTCAGCTTCTCCAAAGCTTTCTATTACCGTCTGTAGGCTACCACCATGGTGCTGTAAGGTCCCAAGACCAGCTATCCGGCATTCCACCTTGTTTCTTGTCTCATCTACTTTTTCCTTTCCATACTAGTCTGAGACGCTGATGTTCCTCAGTTCAAGTCACTAGTTGGCTCTAGTTTTCCACCTTTTCACACAGTATATGTATAGTTGTTGAATTCACGAAGGTGAGTGAGCTTTACATGTGTGCTGGCTCGCTAGTGTGCGTTTTTCAAAAGTTTTGGTAGAAATTGCACTATCATTATGTGCACGTACACGTACACACACAAGTAAAACTCACTCGCCTTCGTGAGTTGCAAAAACTATAATAATAATATGGCCAGTCCATTTACATTTCTATTACCATAAAATCTGCCTATAAATCAGCCTAAACAAAAAGCATAGCACCGAAATGTTTACCACGCATTAATTAATCCTATTCCAAACAAGAGTGATTAATGGAATTGCTGAGTCGTTTGTTAACACTTACACAGCATTACTGGAATACTGAAGTTCCCAACGAGCAATTTGTACGGACGTTATTTGCAACAGCGCGGGATTTAGTTGGAATTTTTATTGGAATGGAATAATGGAGCGGGCGCTCCATAAAATGTGTCGTTCTGTTTTTTTTCTGGACGAAGAAA